ACTCAGATCTTCAGACCAAGGTCTATTATGTATATGCTGCACCCTCCGCGGATCCAAGGGTGACTTTTGTGAATGACTATGCTTTTGCTTTTAGGGCTCTCTCTCTCTCAAACAGTCTTCCTGCAACTGGGCTGTTATGTAATTGTATAATTGTATACTGTATATTATATATAATATACTAAATGTATGTTGTTTATTTTTATGTATCAATATCCTGCGCAGCACTTTGTAACTTTGTTTTGAAAAGTGCTAGATTTTTTTTTACTTACCTCACCTGTAAAAAGCAAATATTAAAAGCCATTCAGTTAAAAACATCAAAATCCTTCAAAAACACAGATTTTATTAGCCTGACCATTGTGCCACTTTGATTTTAGTGTGTTTGGTAAATAATGCAGGTTTGCCAACCAAGACGCTGGAATGTAATTAAAACTGAATCGGTTTAGCTGTCTGTTGGTTGAAGACCATGACAACAAACAGACTTATTTACCATCAGCTTTGGTTTAATATACATGCAATATGGCATCACATTTGCGTTTTTTCACCACCAAAACACTCACCGATGGTCTCAGCCACTCCACTCGAGCTAGGTCAGCAGGGCTCAGCAACCCTTCGCCGATGGACTTCCTGTCAGGGGGGAACATCTCATCGATGTACCTCACCCGTTGGATGACACAGTAGCGTTTCAGCTGCTGGAAGTCTTGGTTGAGGAACTTCTCGGGTTTGGTGAAGGAACCATAACCATCTTTCTTTTGACGTGCATTGATGATTTTAGTGCACACACCAGGTGGAGGCATTGCCGCAGTGTTTGAGCTCTGTGCAGAAAAAGATGAAGAACAATCTTGACAGTTTGATTTTAAGACTAATTAGAACAGCAGGCACTGATACTTTACATTGGACTGCACTGTTGAATTTGAACACTGGAAGAAGTACATTCAAATAATAATACAAACGTAAGCAGTGGTTTTACTTTAATAGAAGCAGCGATACCACAAGATTTCACTTGTGTAAAAGTACAAAAGTATTACCATCAAAATGTACTTAAAGGGAGAGTAATCAGAAGGATTTTTGATATTTTAACTCAACTGCCAAACAAATCCATTAATTAATCAAATACCATATATATTTTCTTATATTAAATACATCAAGTTTATTTTGATTCATATATTTTCTACTGCATGAGAAAAATTTTATTTATAATTTTCAGTCACTGTGTAGTCAAGCATGGCTGTTAAAAGACTGCTGTAACAGTAATTTTCAATGTGTCACATTTTACATTAATAGCACAATAGAAACTGGGCCAACAGCTATGAAGATACTGCAAGTTGCTAAATTCTAAGTGAAAGCTTGAACTGACCTGTTTATAATGTTGCTGACATATAAAATTCCTTACCTCACCGGCCACAGAGAGAAACTGTTGAGTCTGAGTGGAACAGCAAGTCTGAGGCTACTGTCAGCAGAGGGTGTTCCTTTACAAAATTCTTCAAAGGTAACCTGATATTATACCTGCCACAGCTGTGTAGTTCATCCAGGATAGGCTGCATGTTGTCACAGGGCTAATCCTCACAAATATCCACATGCATGTTCAGGCCTATAGTCAATGCTGAGAGAGCAAACTCTCCTAAGTGTACGTCTGTGGTAGATGAAACCCTTGCAAACACAGGGAGAACATGAAAACTGTCTCAAACCAGTATACAGTGTAACCCAATTTGACATAAATGCCATAGTGGTTACACAAACAGCCTTTTGGTCATTTTCTGCTCAAAAGTCTGTGAGTGTGTGATGCAGCCTAAATAAGATATCAGGGTTCTGTTTTTGTGAATTAAGGTGCAGAGAGCAAAGCAATATCAAGTGCACCAAGGGCAGTGTGCAGGAGGCCTGACATATATTCATGTCAGGTGACACTTGCAGGAGCTGGGCACACATAATATGTCGGGACTAGGTGGATTGGTTATCAGATTAAAGTTATTGAAAACACGCACATTAATGATATAACTAAACTGGCTTATATGGCAGCAAAAAGAGGTAGTACATTACTGAAGCTATAACTTATCATGAAAATCACTGCAAACTAAAGTTTACGCTTTGCTCAAATGTGCAGTTGTAATGCCATATTAAATATACTGAACAAAATTATAAATGCAACACTTTTGTTTTGCCTCCATTCATGAGGTGAACTCAAAGATCTAAGACTTTCTCTATGTACACAAAAGGCCTACTCTCTCAAATATTGTTCACAAATCAGTCAAATTCTGTGTTAGTGAGCACTTCGCCTTTGACGAGATAATGCATCCACCTCACATGTGTTTGTTTCTCTCGTCAAAATGAAGGAGAGAAGAAATGTTGCTTTGGTACAGACGGTCTTTATCAGCCTCTACTGGCTGACCTGAAGAGAAACAGCCCACTTACAGCCCTGGTCTCAAGTTGTGGGCCTGTAAAGCATAGAAGTGCTTTTGGTCGCGGGAATGTTGATCAATATTCCCTGTTTTTATAAATTTTTCAATGTTTTGGAAGCTTTATGTGCAGGGCTCTCAAGCCTCATGCATTCACCATGAGACACAAGCATTTCAGCCAGTTCACATGCTCAAACGGCACACCTATTCCTCGCACTGAGAAGTAAGTTATGAGAAAATGCCCTCGAAGTTGGTCAGCTATATTCAATTAATGGACGATAATTTTTCTGCTGTGTTTGTAGCTTTCCCTGTTGCCTACTAAATGCCGTTTAGCTGATCACAAATAAAAATGTTTTGTTTCCGGGTAAACTCTGTGATCCCGCTGCAAGCACATTCGTTACTAGGCAACATCGATGCGCGTGCACATACTGAGTGGAAGTTGGAAGCGCAAGACCCAATGGATGCGCTAACTGTAGGTCTTTTTTTATAGCATTTATATTTTATGATTCCTGGACGAAATCACTTGCATGTGATCAAAGATTGTGAGAGCAGCTGATGTTGGGGAGTACAGACAAATTGCTGAATTGCTAAATTATTATTGATGCAGTCAAAAATTCTCCAACTTTTTTGCAACCAGAAACTTTGGCTTTTTAGCCAGTTGTGAACAAAGTAACTTAGGCCTATTCAGATCCTTTAAAAAAGTTATATAAAAGTTTGTAAGTAGGCTATAAGCAGCAAAATATAGAAGTAGCCTATTAAAAATAAAAGTAGCCTACTCAAAGCAGAAAGAAAAATGTCTCCTATGACTGTAACTATTGTACATTATATCATTAGATTATTGTTCCTCATGCATTAATGTAGGCTAGTTGGTTGAGGTGATTATTTTCTCTATTAATCGATTGTAATAAATTCTGAAAATAGTGAGAAATATTGTCACAGTTACCCAGGGCCCTAAGTGAGACATTCACAATGCTTGTTTTGTCAGTCTAAACCTGAAAATACATTAAAATGATCAAAAGTAAAAGCAGAAAATCTTCACATTTGTGAAGCTGGAACCATGAAATGTTTTTACATGAAAAATAACTAGCGCCAAAACAGTTGCCAATTAAATTTCAGTCAAATAACCTAACTGATGTGGTTCTACTAGCTGGACTTGTATAAACTGTTAAGTGATTTAATTTATATCAAAACATCCTATTTTTTAAACTCTTCATTTTGTGTGTAAAAAGATTATTTTTTAAAGTAACTAGTAACTGAAGCTGTCAGATAAAGTAGAAAGTGGTATGAAAAGAAAATACTCAAGTTCAGTACAAATACCTTGTGTGCAGTATTACTTTGTTACTGTCCACCACTGGGCTTAGCTTTAGCTACCTGAAACTAAGGAAAGGACTAGAGATGTTTTTATATATTTTGGCTCTGGACAGAAAGCTATCATCCATCATAATGGTGAAAATGGCTGGCCACTCAATATATTTTCACGCAAATTTGTATTTGAATATATAAAAAGAAAATACTCTTTAGTTACATTACATACACATACTCTAATGGCTCATTCTTTTAAAATACCTACTCCTGTATTTCCAGATGAATTGTGCAGTCCATCTTCCTGGTTGAGTGTACACTGAAATGTAAATCCACTGAAAATAAAGAGGGAGACATTTTATTTATGCAACATTTACACAACAATGCATCTCTTATCACAGAAAACATGATGGTGCAGTGGACACATGCCTTTGGTGTGAGAGACCTGGTGTTCTGACAATTTATGCTTCCTTATGGAAAAATGCTACTTTAGTGCAAATTGTTGGTGTCTAATCCTAACTCTAACCATTAGCCATGCAAAGAACTGCCAAGTAGCACATCTCAATAGGTAGCACATATCGACAGAACATCGGGTTTAAATCTTATCACTTAACCCTTAGTTGTTCCAGAGGCGTCCATCCTCTGAAATACTTAGTGATAGTAAGTCACTTTGGATAAAAGCGTCAGCTAAATGAATGATTATTATTATTACATTGTGTCATTCTATTCTTCTAGTCTAGATCAACAACAGTGTGAAACGTTTAAACCTTGAACTGGTGAAAAGAATTGTTACAGAGGTTGCACGCCTCTGGAGAAACTAGGAGTTAAGTGTCTTGCTCAGGGACACATTGGTGGATGTTGTGGTGGGAATCAAACCAAGGGAATGGGTTTATCCACTGCTCCATCACCATCATTATCTTTAGTGAGACGCTTTCCAGTGTCTTGTGTCCACAGGAGGCACTGTAGCGCAGAGCCATCAAATACAACATGTCATTGCTGATCCTGTTCAACATACACAGAGCAAAAGTATGTGTAATAAAGGGAATGAATTAATCCTAACTGGTCTACCTGAAGCTACTATTGCATTGTACTGTTTTCATGTACACTACTTACATCATTAATGTAACTACAATCCCTGTGAGGAATGTTCTTTTAAAAAGTACAACTCTATCATCTAGGTAAGTGATACCAAATTATAATGAATGTCACATGCATTACAACAGGATACATCCATCAGAGCAACTCTCTCAATGCTCTAGATGAGTTGAGATCCTCTGTAATTTGTCATCCTTTCTTTTTAACATAGAATACTGTTTGTACTAACAGAGTGCAAAAAAAGTTACAAAATGTATGATGTTCTTTATTGTGGGTACTGGGCCAAGTATGCCAACCCTAAGAGAAGTCTGACAAGCTGTCAGTTAAAATGTTATGACAATAGTTTATACCAAATTGTCTCTAGAAAAACTATGATCTTTTCATGTAAGTTACACGTGTGTGACAGCGACTGCAGCTACAAGATCTGAAGCTGTTTGAGAATGATACTGTGATTCAGACCTGGGTGAACATGCGGTTGCAATCAGACCTGGACAGACTAACCACCAACAGAACCGACCCAACCACTGCACCTCTCAGCTCCGAAAGCAGCACAAACACTGCTGCATCAACTGCAAGCAGCACTGGTGCATCAACACAGGGTAAATATACATATCTCTTTTTTGTTTTGAGACAGTAGGTTTTATGCGCACACTTTGGCATACTGTATTTCTAGTAATAGGAACCTACTTGCATTATGTGGTGCAACTCTACAGCTAACTGATAAGTAATCACTGCCAAAAACAAAAACAAGCTCTACAACTTATCACATCTTGTGTTATGCTTGCTTTCAAGAAACAATTTGAGACAGATAAAAAAATTACATTTATCCTCTAAGGTTCAGGCAAAAGATTCATTGCAATTGTCGGTATTATATACTGGCTAATGGAAATTTAACAAGAACAACGGAATTGATTGATTTCCTGACCAAGTAAACTGGACTAAACAAATAGTAATGAACTGTAGTTCACAAAAACCCACAAGCTTTTACTCTAAACATAAAGAATCTCATTTGTCCAGTGATACTGACATAGATTAGGGAATGTTAAGTCCCTCAAAGTGTTCATAGAAACGTCAGTGACAACGGGAATGTGCTCTCTTGCATTTTTTAAATTTGTGTCTGGAGGATTAGAAACAGCAACGACAAAAACACTGAAGAATTCTCTGGGCAGATAATATGGCCGACATCCCAACATTAAAAATTCCACATTTGATAAACATTGTCTATCCACTTTGGCTGTGTTTGAGCACCAAGCATAATTTATGTAAATATAACTTTATATGAGTAATTATGAAATATAATAGTAATAATTCTTACATCATTAAAATAAATCTTGATGCCATCTGATCCCAAGCACAATTTACAGTACCAGTTTACCCACTGTACTTACATGATGCAATAATGCTTAAATCTATACATGGGGGTACAAAATATAATATTACTTCCGTATTTCAACCATCTGAGAAGTGACAAGAAAAATCTAGGATACATTATTAGTTTAAATATAAAAGCTGCAAGCAATGTAACAATACGAATAACTAATTCATAAACGTTTTGTGTTCATGATCCAATTCACAGTGCTCTAAATCTATATACAATTTGAACACAAAAAAAATCAATTTTCAGTACCAAACATAGCATTTTATCAAAAAAAACAAAACAAAAAAAAATAACAAAAAATTGTTTTTTAAAGAAAGTTTTTGGAAAGACACCACACTCATGCAATATAGTCCTAAACTGTACTAGTGTACATTTTGGCTGCTGTACTGTCTGTAACATGTAAGCAAAGTTGCAAATCAAAAATTAGTAGCCTGCGTCTTCTAAACTGACATGTTCATCCCATTTGTTCCCCAATGTTACTTTGCACTGAGTCACAGGAACGAGAACATGAGGCGAAGGGAGTTTCACCCCGTCCATTAGCAAAGTTGAAAGTACTGTAAATGCTCTGCTGTTTAATACCATGTAACTGCTCATTTGTAGAAGAACACATTTTGCATTTATTTCCTTTCACATCATCTGCAGATGTAATTCCAAGTGAATCCTGCAGTCCATCTTCTGTGTCAGCTTAAGTGTACATCGAAAGGTACATCCACTGCAAATTAAGGAGGGACAGATCATGAATGTGCTTCAGTGTATCTGTAGCATTAGTTAAATACATTTCCTCACAGAAAACTAAAAATGTAGTTCAAGCATGCCATATTTTCTAGAACAACACACTAAACACAAATAGGGGAAGTACAAGTTAGAACCCGACCGATGCCGATATTAAAGTGAAAAAGAGCCGATTTATGTGCTGATATTTAGATTTAGAGAATGATTTGGATAGTAGACCCCTTTATTGTATAAACTACACTTAGAACAGGCCCATACTGAAAGCTGTTATGTATGTATGTGGGCTATAAAACCTAAATGGATTATGTTAATGGAAACAGTCTCAAAAAGTGAACATGTAAACAATTGCAAATCAATAAATATATGTTGCTGGAATGTGCAACTTTTTCAGCCATCTGTAAACTGAGACAGTGAGAGAGAATAAGCATGTGCATTTCACTTTATCATAATAAATACATATACACATAATCTGCCATAATTTCAATGTAGCATATTCACATCTAGTTTATCCCTTTACCAGCACTCTTCTAACCAAAGCTACAAGAAACAATTTCTCATCATCTGTCTAAATCATGCCGTCTATCATACAGTGAGCTGCTGCTGAATGCATCTGAAACAACATGACTCTCTACAACGGGGACCTGCAACTTAGCGATTTCATTTAACTGACGTTATAACTATAACCAGAGCAGTTACGGCTCTTACAGCTTTTCACATCTACAACTGCACAAAAAGAGCCTGAGCTCTCTGAGACAACGTGTTTTCTTGTTCAGCTCACGTTCACTTACATGTCCACTCTGGTTTAATCATTTCAGACAGGAAGACTAACTGCAGACAGCGGCCCGCAGATATATTGAGAATACACCAGAAACTATATTTTAACGGCTCATTACGATATTAGTGCTCCTCCACTGATAAACACGGCATTAGCTTTGTAGCTAATTTAGCAACGTTAGCTGCTGTGACGTTACGTGATTTTAGAGAATATTTAGAAGTGATGAACTAGGGACAAATGTGGACCGTTAACTAGAACAGCCACACTGTTTCAGAATAAAGGCCTATTCACCACAGACTGTATATAAGCGACACTCCGCCTGCATAGTACTCTGGCCCCGCGGGGTCGCCCTGCGCTTCCCATGTGAACAGACACGAGACAAGCGAGTAAACGGAAGGCGCTCAGTAGATAGTAACCACGGCAACGGCTTCTGTGTGCCACTGTATTCCTTCATAGCCTGGCTTAAAGTGAAACTATAGTTTAAGTAACGTTAGCTGATAGGCTATATTATTATATTATGTATATTATTCATATAGCTGATAAATCTAGTCATGTAAACCCCCTCCTGTTAATGTCATGTTAATATATTTCAGGGAAGTCACAGACGAAGAGGATCAGTCTCTCATCCTTCTTCATTTTCTATTGTATTCCTTCATAGCCTAGCTTAAAGTAAAACTATAAGTAGTTGATAAGCTATATTATTATATTATATATTATTCATATAGCTGATAAATCTAGTCATGCAAACGCCCTCCTGTTAATGTTTCGATAACTGTTAAGTGAACACTTAAATAGTCTATTTCAGGGAAGTCACAAATGGCGAGGATCTGTCTCTCAGCAATCTTATTTTTGTGTTGCGCGTTGCGCAGGCTACACAAAGTTAAAGTCAATTCAGCTTTGGCATTGGCGGGCGTATAAGTGAGACGACCGCGACAGTTTCACGGGACCACGACCGCTTGTTGCTACGCCTGTCGTAATGCCCGCGGCTCCCTTCCTACACGCTCGCCTCTCATTGAAAATGAATTACGATTATGTAATTACGTGAAAAGCTTTTTATATACAGTCTATGGTGAAAATGCCTTAAATCTACAGTTACGTCTGTCAGCAGCTTCCAACACCCAGCTACTATGACATTAACCTGCTGTGAGCTGCTAGGAAGCCGGGGGAGTGCAGTGAAAAACGGGAGGGTTAGCAAGTCATGAATGTTTTCAGGAGAGGAGAAGTGACTGGGTCTGTTTTTATTATAATTATTAAAGTCATGTAATTAACTTGACAAAAGACCGACTCACCGCTAACTTTCTAAATGCTGCTGTAAACTCAGGTAAACTCCAGTCAGCTGATTGTTTTCTTCTGTGTTTTTTGTGGCGGGGCAGTGTTGTTAACAGGGGAGCTGCAGCTGGTCACTGGCAACACCCATGACATGAGTGAAGGATCTGAGTTTCTTTTTTAAGTCATATATCTGGCGTTATAACCGGCCGATGCCGATTAAATGCAATGAGCTCATATCAGCCGATAAATCGGTAGGGCTCTAGTACAAGTACAATTGCCAGCAAGCTATCTTTTGCCTCTGAAACACCTCTGAAGAACTTTTATTACCTCTGATTCTCGAAGAGTGACAGTCAATCCATCAGACAGCTGGCCGAAGATGTCTGTTGAGAAAGACACAAATTCTTACTCAAGAAACAGTGAGGGCAAGGAACGGGAGTCAGATATGTCTGTCACGTGCAATGACAGAAGTTCAAATTTCACTCTTATCTGCATGAACATCTTTGTTGCTGAAAGCAAACAGTGGTCACACCAAATATTGATTTGATTTAGATATTCCTCTGTTCACTCATTTTGCATTTTGCAAATTGACACATATAATCTATTAACATGTCTATTTTTGAAAGCTTTCTTACTTTACAGCATTTTTTTCCCACATCTGAAACTTTTGCACATGTGCATGTATTGCACAAAAAGAAGTTCTTGTCAAGAACAACTACTTTTTAAGAAAAGTATCCATATATGTACTACATTTACTGTGTTGCCTACTGTCATCAGTTATCCCAATGTACTTACTGTTCATGCAGTCAATGCGAAGGATTAGACTGATGAAGTTTTCCAGTGTTATGAATCCAGAGGAAGAACCGTAGCGCAGAGCAATTATATTCAGCATTTCATCGCTGATCCTCATTCCTGGCCAACATATATAGGACAAAGGTTTAGATGACGTCTGCAACGAGCTATTGCTTTCATTATCGAATCATCTGCAGATCTTTTTATTTATTTATTTTTCCATTAAGATATGAAACTGTTAGATGGTCATGGTTTCCTGGGACAATTCAATATAAAAGTGCCTTTGTTTATGTTATTACTAACATCAACATTGGCGTATAACCAATAAACTCTTGCCAAACTAAATGAAACCTTCTTTTAACATTCCTTGGTACATGCTTAATCTTGTCTACCCCAGGAAAAAACATTTTGCAATACATCTATAATACCTGGAGACCAGGTGCATTTCATTCATTGTAGACATAAATCCCTGTGTATGCACTAAGTAGTCTTTGAGCTAAATATACAAAAACACACACTGTAATTGCTCAAAGTAAATCCCTTCGCAGTGAATGAACACTCATACTAGAATTATCTTAATGCATCTTTGATATCATTATGCAATACACAACTTTAATGTGCAGGGTAGTAGTAGTAGAAGACTTCAGTTAAGATTCCCAAATTATCTATTTAATGTCACCCTTCTCTATACCTACTTGAGTACTTACCAATATAGATCTGGCACGTTGTTTCACAGCATTGTTTTAAAAGCAAACAATTAGAAACAGCTGGCAAGATTTTATATTTTCTGTTGTTGTACAGTGTTCATTGGATTTAATTAAGGGAATAAATCCCTGATAGACAGCTATGTCTATAATAGACTAAAAGAAGTGGTTGATTGTCTACCTGAAACTGTGATTGCATTCCTGAGCTCCTTCAGTGACAGTGTTCCTGTCTGTGAAACATCAGTGTGGAAGAAAGTTTCCTGGTTAGAGAGAAAAAAGTGGTTAAGTTATGTGAAACCCAGCAATATTTCCCTGATCTGGAAAATCTTTAAGACTCTAAACCAGACAAGAAAGTCTGTTTACCTTGTATTTGGCAACCTTCCTCCACAGACGAACAAATTCCTCACCATTTAGTTTGCCAGTAACTGATGTCTAACCCAACATTAAGGTATCAGAACATGTTTTTTTATGTCTTATTCTGACCTTTAAAGCTATTAATGTGTGTGAAACCAAGGGCAGGTAGGTTTTTACCTGTACACTACTTACGTGTTTTATATAACTACATTTACTGTAAGGTATTCCTCCTTTCAAAAATAGCAGCTTATATAAAGAAAAGGTCTAGTCTAGTACATGAATTTCACAAAAGAGGATACATCTATTAGTGCAACCATGCTGCGACAGGCATCAATGCTGAAGCCTCCAGATTTCAAGTCTCCTAAATAAAAACAGAAAAAATAGCAGGACATTTAATTTAGCCTAAACCCAGTAACTAGTGCTACACAAGATGATGATGATTGATTATTATTATTATTATTATTAGTTGAATATTGTTTCAGCGTATATTCTGTCAAGCTTATTGGAGTTGTACAGAACAAACCTTTCAGGATTCTGTCATTTAGAAGTCTCTGGAGCTGCTCAGCATCCACTTCATCATACTGGAAATAAATAAATAAAATAAATTGAAAACAAGAAAAGACTTATATTTGCCTCACATGTTAGTTGTCATAATCACAGTTACCTTTATATTGAGGAGAAATAATAGCATGTTACACCTTATGAGTTTGAAAGAAATCACTTAAGGTGTAGTTATAAATAAATCAGTTGATTCAAAATGAAACAGGACATTCACAACCTAGTTATATTTTAATTAAAAAGAATACTTCAAATACGTTTATTCGTATTACTGCCAAGAGTTAGATAGAGGATCGACACCACCAGTGCTGGAAATAAAAAAAAATAGGCCTCCTCCTACTCCCTATTCACACGTTAACCATTTTTGCAACAAATTCAATATTTTGAAAGTTTGCTGTAGCACATCAGCCTTTTGTAAGTGTCCCGCCCCATCTGGATTGTGATTGGTCTTTTCACAAAAAGTGACAATGACAAGCAACTATATGAAAAGTTGAACATGTTTGCCCAAAAGGCACCTGATCTTCTGCCTACTCTGTCTGCGCTGACAGATAGTAGCAGACCAGAGAACCTGATATGGAGAGGGCAGAAAAGAGTATCGCCAAAGAGTAAAATGTTGAAGTGCCAGTACTGCACACTGGTGAGTACTGCCCCATTTCAAGCACTGGATACCACTCATGTCTGTATGCTAAATATGACGCTACAGACAGCAAACGGTAAACTAAGTTCAGCACAAAGACTGGAAGCAGGAGAAAACAGCTAGCCTGCTTTCCTAAAGTAACGAAATCTTCCCAGCACCACCTCTGTAGCTTACAAACTAACATTTTATAGCCTTTATAGATCGTCTGTTTAATCTGTACAAAAAACTAAGTATAAAGCTAGCAATTCTCTGCTGTGTACCTGACTATATCTTAGATGGGACCAGTCCCTTCCTGGAGTCAGTGATGGTGGAGACCACAGCAAAGCAAATAAGCATACTGTATTTTACAGAATGAAACTGAACAGCTTAAAAGGCACACAAACTACCTTGTCAGAGAATTGCTGGAACAAGTTTCTCTTGTTTTCGTCATCCACTCCATTTTCGGCTGGTATGGACTGCAGAGAAGATTGTGTTTTCAGCGCCAGCCGAATTAATGCACTGGGTATGTGTCATATGTATTTAATGTAACCAACACAGCAACCAACATATAAAACAATAGCAATACCAAAATAATGTGAACATTGATAATATATTTGCAAACCTTGCACGCGTCTTCTTCCTCTAACTGTTCATGGTTAAGGCCACCAGAATTCTCTCTGAGAGGAAAGAAAAGAGACATCAGTACTTTACTTGTGACCAGTGTTGAGCAGTGACATGTTACAAAGATACTTCGTTCATATAAGAACTTCTTCAAAACGCATTACAGTAATGTGATTATGTTTTTCAGAAACGGGTAGTGTAAGGGATTACAATCTGAAAATTAGTACTGACATTACAGTTACCAAACCTTTTTGGGGTCAGCTTGTTCACTGTCTTACCAGGAGTATGATGGAGGGTTAAGGGGAGACCAGGGCCTGCTAGCTTGTAGATTCATTGTACAAAAAGAATTGTAAAGGCTAATTGGAGAGTTGCTAGTGACTTACTGGACATGGGTCTCTGCCTTGGAGAGAATGGTCAGGATGAAGGAGGCTGTCTCGTTGGGTTTGAAGGTGGACGGCACAATCAGGTACTCGCCTGGTGTCAGCATTATGAACGCCATCACCTCACGTGCATTCATGTAGGTTTTAGTTTGGGCAACAGGTTCGTTTTTGCTGAAGAAAGAGGCTGGGAACTTTCCCCTCTGTGCCTCGTACTGTAATAATAATAGTAATAAATTGATTCATAGCTATGCAGTTCATATCAATCTCCATAGCAACACAATTTAAGTTGGCATATTCTATGCAGGTTTAAAATGTTACTTACTTCTTTGGTCACCTTGGAAGAAATAAGAGGGAAATTAATTCATGTTAATGACAAAACTAAATGAGTTCAAGAGAAAACATGACAATATGAAAAATATATATGTATAACTAATTCAAATAAAAATCATGGAATTTAAATTGACCAAAATTAGTAAAAACACATATTTAGGTCCTTGTTGTTTTGTTGCATATGGTTAAAGGTTCACTGTGTAAGATTTAGGGGAATCTGTTGGCAGAATATTGTAAAAATGCAAAATAAGGAAGTTACAGATTTTAAAAATTGCTTTTCTCAGCTCAAGGAAAGTTTTACAAATATACTTGCTTGGAAGAGGAGGATGAGGATGAACAGCTACTCCCCCATGTCTATGCATGACACATCCGTAATAGTCCTCACAATGTGACTGAAACAATAAAGGGTAACATTTACCTCAAATACAGAGAATCCAATGTGAAGATTTTGGACAAGACGCCTGTTCCTCTTGTCAGGCTTTTGCATGAGAGACACCAGCATGTTTTTTTCACCCTCTTTTGTAGAACATTCAGTCAGTAGTTTGTCAACCTTGACCCGATACTGTGGATTAGTCCAGAAGCTCTCTGGAAGTCAAAGCGTGAAACATTTTAGCAAGTCACAACTTTGCCAAAAGAAGGAAGAATCTGAACAATGTGAAAAACAACTTGCAGCCAGTTCATCCATTCTTGGCTAATTCTGCTTTCTCTGTCATGGAGCCTGGCATACACTACAATAATTACATACTTTTAAATTGGTCTGACACTGTTTTAAAAAGTGTAAACACACACATATGTATGTACACACACACACACACACACACACACACATATGTATACATAGGTTTACATAGGTTTTTGGGGAGCATTATTGAATTGATACATTTATAAAGTTATTAGTAATTGATTAAAGGATTTTTCCTAATTAATTCAATTATGCATTAAAGAGGTCATATTATACTCATTTTTGGGTTCATAATTTTATATTTACAAGTTGTACCTGAACAGGTTTACATAGGTTAATTTCCAAAAAACAATTTTTGTCATACTGCACATTGCTTCAGCACATCTTTTCACTCTGTGTGTTGAACGTTCCGTTTTAGATACTGAGTGAGGAATCTCACTTGTAATTCTTTTTTGCAAGTTATATGCAGTACTTAGGAAAGGACTAAGCAAAGTAGGGCATGTCCTGACAAGCAAGGCAGTGCTATCCAAAACAAAGCCTCTTCAGCCAGTAAACATGGCTTCGATCCAGATTCTGATTCTGATTCTGTCCAGATTCTGATTTGGATCCTGATCCCCAACCTGAACCAGCTTCGACACCTAGACTGGAGCAAGACGTTTCAGAGTGGTAAGTTTTTCTTTTGTAATAAATGCATTTCACTTTCATATGTAACGTTTTAACTGTGTGCTCTCTCTACATCACAGTAACAACCTTATGTCCATTGACTGCCTGGAGAGTATCGAATGTTATTTAATATTTTCTCAAGATATACGAAATATAGTTATTATAATTAATTACAACGTTATGCAACAAACATCAACAGTAGCACACACCTGACATTCTAAGCAATGTTGTCATGCATCAAGTATTTTTTTAAGTGAATAAGATTTTGTCTAAAGTTGTTGTGTTGGTGACACACAAGCCACTAGGCGAGCATTATGACGTGTTTTACTTAGTGACGGAGACTGATTACGGAAGTAAAGGCTCGACTAAAATCAAACTGTTTGCAGGCAGTTCAGGAACAGTGTTTTCTGTAGGAGATCCAAACTTCCTTTGGGTTGGACTTTTTCACTTTGCAAACCATGCACAATAAAGATATATAACACAATGAAGGAAAAGGAATTAGGCAAAACGCCTCTTCAAATATGACCTCTTTAATAAATGAAAACTTAAAAAAAATAATAAAATCTATACATTTTAAAATGTCCACTCTCTATATACTGTTTTTGATGGGGTTTATTGAATAAGTCCAGATATCCTGGAAGTACCAAGGTTATTTATGCATCCTCCAGCCGTGGTGCCTGCCACCCATCTGCCCTCGTAGAAGGAGGTCTTCCAAAGGGATGAAGAACTTCCATCAAGGAAGTCGGGACACAGGCAGCAGATGTCAAGATCCGTGTAGAACTTACAGAAGTCTTCCAGGGTCATCCTGTTGATAAATGTAAATCACACATTGTTGTATAAATGTATAAATTTATATATACTGTTTAGTGAGTACACATATCTGATACATTGTACCTTTTTGTATGTAAAACTTTGTTTTCAAATACAGAATAGTGTTAAATCGCTTTTAAGTATAAATATTATATAATCAGTTTAAATCTTTTAGGGCTCTGTAGCCTTATCTGTGACAAGACAGGTGGGAAAGAGAGAGGGAACAAAACAACATGCAGGAAAGGGCCATGGATCGGATTCAAAGGACTAAGCCTCTGTGCATGGGACGGGCACGCTAGCGCTGAGCTAGCCAGCACCCCATGTTCTAATCAGAGTTTGCACTTTTACGCAAATGTTGTTGCAAAAACTAATAAAACTTTAGATAGTCACTGATGTTCTGTATTGGCTGTATTTCAAAAAACATTTAGCATTCTGCAATTTGAGAAACTACTGTCGATTTCAGCTTGCTTACCAAAACTCCCCATCATCAGCCACTGAAAGGCACATCTCACGATTTTGAGGACTCACGGTTTGCCACAAAGGCGACCTTACAGTAGTCAGTGGAGGAAGAGGAGAAGCAATATTGTTATAAGTTGTTATTAACATTAAGACAAACAGTACAGTTGTTACAGTATAAAAATTATATATGCAAGTTCAGTGACAAGGGCACACGGTTGTGGCAGGTTGTGGAATCCTAACTTTATTTCCCATGGCATAAAACTGAAAAAGCTAACACATATTCTGTTGACTAACAAGCTGCACTTACTGTCCACATAACTATAGTAAAAACTGCCAAAACCAGTTTGTGTAACTGTCAAGACACTGAAACAGCTAAAGACACGTCTCAGAACTTTGAACTAAACATAGCATGCTTACCACTGTCATGCAAAACTATTTTTAACTAGATTATACTTTTAAAAGCCCAATGCAAAGCTATGTGAGGACTTGTCTAGTAAATACTGGATTAGTTACGTGCACCTATTACGTGCCAAATGCGAGTACATTTTTGGCAGTGGTGGGTGAAGTTGGCGGACAGGGAAAATGCACAACAGAAAGTTAGGATATTGTGGTGGTCGGCGCACGAGCCTGTGTCACACACACAGTCAGCAGCAAACGTCTTGTTTCAGACAGAGGATGAACTGAGGGCTGCATAAAGTTTAAGATAAATAAGGTTTTTTTTGAACTGTGAATCATTCAAAGATACTCTATTGGTATGCCAGAACAAGAATAGAGCTAGAAACAGCTTTAACAGTTGACATTTAAGACCTGTAAAAACTTGGCTTCACTAGTCATGTTTCCCAGTTACCAGAGGGTTGTTATTGTAAGACACCAACTGCAGGGCTTCTCATGGCTCTCTTCCAAAAGTTGTTGACCCCTTTATACATGACTTTTAAATACTTTTTTTAATAGTATACCTTCATTGTATTTTTTATATTGTTTGATTGTTTAAGAACAAATTACTGGGCTAGGAGTAAGGTGCGTGTTTCAAATGTTTTATTTTATTCTGATGTGAAGTGTGTGATTGATTGACCAATTATTTTAAAATGGTCCCGCTTACTCCGATCTGGGCCAGTAACAGCACACTATGGGCCAGTCAATCAACGCGCAAATTGTCTAGTGGCTCACTGGGAAAACTCTCATTACTCCCAATGGCTAGTCTGCCTTTGTTTACCACTGTACAGTTTATCATCAAGAAACAACCATATTGTTGACAAAGCATGTGCCTTGTGCAACAATGAACACATCTACAATTTATATTCGGCGGCAAATTAGAGTACTTTCTTTGAGAAACACTAATCTTGCTGGTGGCAAGTCCGACTATGTTTTGAACGGATAGCGGAGGGGCGGGGCAGGTGACGGAGCGGTGGGGGAAGGGGATTACGGTAGTAATCTTTATTCATTACCATTGACAGCAACAACTTGCTCTAAAAGTTGCTCCGTGTATCATCAGCTTAACTGCACTCAATGTGGTTCTTACTGATCACTCCAGTCTCCGTTCCACTCTCCTTTGCCCCAGGGGTTCCACAAACGGACCAGGTGTACTAGTTGCTCTCTGCTCATCATCTAATAAGCACCAGAGAAACACAATTGTTATTTGCCACAAACGTACCCTTTACTATATACTATACTATATACTACTGTGTAGTGTAGTATACTATATATACTATATAGCAGTGTTTCCCAACCCTCTCCTGGAGGCACACTAGTCCTGCATGTTTTAGATCTCTCCCTGCTCCCACACAGCTGATTCAAATGATTATCTCCTTATGAAATGCTAAAGCTGTTAAATCAGCTGTGTGGGAGCAGGGACAGATCTAAAAGATGCAGGACTAGTGTGGCTCCAGGAGAGTGTTGGGAAACACTGTATATACTATACTACACATTACTATAAACTATACTATTGTATGTATGTTGCAATGCCTTTAAAATATATATAATTTGTTACCTGTTTCACACCTGTGACAGCGTAGGAATGGCTTTGGACCAATCCATTTGGTAATACACTGTCGGCAAATGTCTCCTACAAAATATAGATACTGTAGATGTTATCATTGTATGTAATCTTGTATAATGTTGTAAATATATAAAAATTCAATTTATAGCTCAGGCTTTTATTTGCATTTATCACTACATTCACCCTGCCTGTATTTGGTGTTTGGGACAAACAACTATATGCGACAGGTCTTTACAGAATTCTTGCTGAGCAAAATTTTGATTCATTTTATGAGTGGACTCCTTAAGCACTTCATCTTTTCATCTTTTAGGGAAACTCGGTTTCTCTCACTATTCATGAAAGGAGCATGAACTCATGCCTATACTCATTTCACAAAATGTTAAAGACCAGATTTAAAACAAAGAGTGGCAAATTCACAAAAGGATTATGAGGCTTCTGCAGCCACCTACACAAATAAGACAAAAAGAAACAGCTTAATCTGCAAAATTCATGCATAGAGTAAAATGTACCCCTTACTGCACTGTTAAGCAAATAGCGTCTAGATGCTCCAATGCTATTTGCACATATTTAAATTAGATAATAGATGCATACATTTGGCTGAGTAATGCAAAACATCTCACAACCACATTTTAAATGCCATTCTAAAATAATCTTTGTAACTATGGGCTAAAATCATCTTAAACATAAGATGCTTTTATGGTCCGGACAAACAAACACCCAAAGACTTCTAGCCCAGTTTACGAAAGCAAACAGAACAAGCTAGTGTGTGGTTTTGTGTAGTATGTTGGTGTTTACCCCCTGTGCTGTACCACAACCCATCAGTGACTTGGATTGGCCAGCTCTGCACATAATTTCCCACAGGTCTGGAAGACAGTCTGGCAGATGAAGTCGTATGTGAACACCTCCAGTGAAGTCCACCAAAGCCTCGGCAGGAGTTCCAGCATTCATGTCTGAGTAGGAACCGCACACTCTAATACAAATGGAAGTGAAATCACTTACACGGATACTCCAAAAATAAGACAAATCTCACTCTGAGAAAATGTTGTGTAAATAGTACTATTATCACAGTACTGTGTATATGTATAATACATTAGTACATACTTCGCATAAGCTTTCTCCAGCAAAGCAGGCCAGAACTCAGTTGGGTCTTTGGAGTGAACAAAGATTAGTCTGCCATTGATTGTTGGTAGCTTGTCATCAATGACAACATCCACCCACCTTCCAAATCTCCAGAACTGAATAGTTGAGAAAGGAGAGAATATTTTTTAGAGTTTTGGAGGAAAATGAGATATGTACCATTTAGCAGTACAACACACATTTAAACAAACACTGTTGGGAATGACTGTTGGTTGGTTTACCCTGAAGTGGAACAGCCCACAGTAGTCCTCATCAAATCTTTGCTCGAGAGGAACAACTTGCTCAAGGACGTCATTCTGGAATGTCAGAGCCCCGATAGCCGCAAGAAACCAACAGTTTCCTGAGTAAAAAATGTTCTGTGAGTTGTCAGAAAGGTGTACCAAGGTGGCAAAGGCAGAGTAGTAAAGTGTGTACAGAAGGGTTTCCAGATTACAAACTGTCAAAAATACTAACAGAAAACACATTTGTGTAATATCTTCTAATAAATAGCTCTCCGCCGTGTTTTTCTGCCCATTGTCTGGACATTCATCTCATAATAGCATTGCTGGAAAAACTATTTTTAGATTATTATGAATGGAAGCATTTTCCTACCAACCAAACCTTGACCAAAGTCAAACCTGGAGACCCCGTCAACAACAAGAGATGGGTTGAGAACAAGTATCTGAAACAAAGGAATGGATGACAATACACAACTTGTTAAAGGTTCAGATACAGGAACAACACACTGTAATAATGGCCTGCTCAGCTTTGTGAGGTTTGTCTTTGATGTTGTGGTTTATTTAAAAAAATACATACTAGGCTCAATGTGAAAGGGTTCCTGTAGAGGTGTGGAAAATAATTAATTTTTAGATGCATCACGAAGCGTACTTGGACGATTAACTGATTATCTAGAGGTTCACTGATAACGTAATATTGAGCATTTCATTACTATCTACTTGTTTGGGTTATTACAAATACTTTGCTTTAAAAGTACCAAGTAGTCACACAGTGAGAAAAATACATCTTTATCCTGTTTGCTTTACAATTGCATCGTAACGTCATAATCGTAACGAGGATGACTAAAAATTCCCACCCTTGACGTAATGCATCGTGATGCATCAAGATATCTAATTAAATTGTTTACCTGATAGTCGTAATCAATTCAAATCGTGAGACCGGTGAAGATGCTCAGCCCTAGTTCCTAGTTCTGTCAATATAACTGAGAATCGTCACTTTGTGGCTCTATGCAGCTTTCAACAATACTGAGCAACAATCCTACTTTGTATCAGATCTTGGGATGCAGGTACTAGCCCAGGAATAAGAAAAGTTAACTGTCTTGTGGAAGCAAAGTTTTATTAACATTGCTTTACAAATTAGTTTCCAATATATCAAAGTAATTATATCCATAGTCAAAAGTTAAGATAATTTGTAGTGAGTAGGTAGCTGGTTTTGCATATTCTAAATAATCAGTATATTGTCATTATTAGACAACCATATTGTATATTTGCATTCAATTTGTAAGTCAGCATATTCATACAATTATGTTAGTATATTTATATAACCTTTTATTATATTGAAACATAAAAAGTGTGCCAGAGGTTGCTGTATCCAGGCAGAGGCCCTGTAGTAAAGGGAAGCCTAGGGGAACATAAGCACTTGAAAAACTAAATGCTCATTGGTGTGTTTGTGTTGTCTTTCCTTCAGACAAGATGGCACATGAGGGCGAGCGTCCATCTTTTTTTTTTTTAAACCCACTCTTGATCCAACCCAACCAAATAACTACAGACATATGCAAACATTAACCAACTTCAACCAGATCTAGAATCATTAATCTATTCCCTATTTTTTTCACATTATCTGGTGACTATATGCTTTTGCTGTTAGAGCCCTCTCTCTTTCTGGAACAGTCTACCTCCGTCTGTTAGATCACCAATTGAATCGGTTTAGCCATATGCTGGTTGAAGACCATGACAACAAAAAGGCTTTTTTAGCATCAGTATTGTTTCAATACAACATGCCATCACTAATGCAGTTTTTCGCCACCAAAACACTCACCGATGGTCTCAGCCACTCCACTCGAGCTAGGTCAGCAGGGCTCAGCAACCCTTCGCCGATGGACTTCCTGTCAGGGGGGAACATCTCATCGATGTACCTCACCCGTTGGATGACACAGTAGCGTTTCAGCTGATGGAAGTCTTGGTTGAGGAACTTCTCAGGTTTGGTGAAGGGACCATAACCATCTTTCTTTTGACGTGCATTGATGATTGTAGTGCACACACCAGTTGGAGGCATTGCTGCAGTGTTTGAGCTCTGTGCAGAAAAAGATGAAGAACAATCTTGACATTAAAAAGTTTGCTTTTAAGACTAATTAGAACAGCAGGCACTGATACTTTACATTTGGACTTCACTGTTAAATTTGAACACTGCAAGAAATACATTCAAGTAATAAGTAATATATATACGTAAGCAGTGGTTTTACTTTGATAGAAGCAGCAATACCACACAAGATTTCTCTTATGTAAAAGTACAAAAGTATTACCATCAAAATGTACTTTAAGAGAGAGTTTTGGCTGTTACAAGATTGCAGTAACAGTAATTTTCAACATTAATTGCATGATAGAAACTGGGCCAACAGCTATGAAGATACTGCTAGTTAAAAAGTGAAAGTTTGAATTGACCTGTTTATAATGTTGCTGACATATAAAGTTCTTAATCTTACGTCACCAGCCACAGAGAGAAAGTGTTGAGTCTGAGTGGAACAGCAAATTTGAGAGAAGAAGCTCCAGTTCTTTTATACTGCCTGTAAACGCCCTGGACAAGGCTGGTCTGGGAGGATGTATGATGACCGGGCGGAGGAGACTCCGAGTAGGGGTTCCGTCTTGTAAGTGGTTTCACCCGAGTAAGTTACTGGCCCCCCAGACAGTGTTGAATAGGAAGGGGTGAGGGGATGGGTGGGTCGAGCAATCTGAGATGAACGACATCAGCTGAGTAGCACGGGTGGGGTTGAGGTGTGGCCCTGCTCCTGAACCTAAGTGTAGGTACAATATGAATGTAAAAGATTGCATTTGTCCTTTATTAACATAAAATGTTTGTTCTCAGGTGAAAGTGGCTTAACAAAGGAAGCCAGTCATTCCTGTTTTACAACTTTATAACTTGCCCTGCAACTCTTATCTCAAGTCTAGAGACTGCTAGCCTGCCTGAAGCCCAGTAGGACCACGGCCGTGACCAGGGTTTCAAAATTAGTGAGGTCCAGATTTTTTGTTTCTATAATAGAGCTTTTCTTCCTATAACTCAGCGAAGGCTTTGAACTGGGCAGTGGGCACAGCACTGTGTTTGGGTGAAGAACACTAACTGCAGGCTGTTCATTATGCTCTTTCTCCTTCACTTTTTGGCTCACTACATTGCATAAAATAAAAAAATCTTGGTATAGGCTTACTAATCTTCACAACATGTATTAGGGGTGTGACGGAACAAAAAATTTATGGTAGCTACGACTTCAGTACAGTGGAAAGAGCCCTAGCAACCCTGAAACTTTTGCCTTAAACAGAATATCATCTCAGCCCTCAGCTTGGTGAGAGTGAATCACTACCTGTAAGAAATGACACAGTAGTTTAAATGTATCTTAAATGTAGCCTACAACTGTTATCACAGGCAGTGTTAGGGAATAACTAGCCACATGTAATTTTGTTAATTTAATTACAAAATAAATTACTTAGACATAGAAGGTTACATCTGAATATTTTCTGTAAAAAGCTCAGCTATGTGTTGAATAATAATATTAATTTTGTTGCTTTGCACGTTTTTCATGTGCACAGGTTCTTCCTTTGCCATTTCCAGTCACAGGCGTTTAGTTTGAAGCTGCTCTGATTCTCATAATTGGTCATCATGTTTGAATGTGCTGCGCTGCCCGCAAAAAGCAATTGAAATAGTTACACTACTATTACATTATCAATAGGGTAACTTGTAATTGGAAACCGATTACATGTAGAAAGTAACCTTCCCAACACTGATCAGAGGACCATACTGTTGGAATGACATGTGTGGACTACATAGTGGGCACTAATATTACCATATGGCAACGTAAAATACAGCAGATCAGTGCTGTTGATATTACAGCCTAATAATGTGATGTCAGCAGCTGTTTGCACTCATTTTAATCGGTGCCTTTTCAACTTTTAAAAGTATAAAATTAAAATAACTCTAATCACCACTTTTTAAATAACCAGGGTTTTAAGAAATCTTAAAATTACAAGAAGAATGTGTTGTGCCATATCAGGCTGTTTCACATTTTATTACTGTTTTTCTCGTAAGTGTTTTGATAGTTTTGTCAAACCTGTTACCGACATAAGCGTTGCTAGAGCGGCGTTGTTATTCCTGATAGCCCCTGATGTTTTTTGAAAAGCCCCGGATCTCAGAAGGATTTTTAAAAAACAAGCAACAAAAGGGCGAAAATTGAAATTTAGAGAGAGAGAGAGAGATTATTGTTATTATTTTTTCTCCTGAAAATTAGCGGAGAATAAGATGATCCAGCTGTAGCTCTGTGTCTGTCCTCTGCTCCACCTGAAGCTGTGAGCTGCACTTAATCAGAGGCGCTGAAATTAACCTGCGGATTTGTGGTGAGGTTGATCACCTGATAGGCAGAGGAGGCATTAGACATATTTCATTTCAAAATCAATGTTTTGTCCCCCCCTCTTTCCTAATGTAAAGTTTTATTTCGCATTGCCTTCTTGGCTCAGGCGATTTCAGAGCTGGCTAATAGGAGGCTGTTTACTAAGTGACGCTCACACACTCCACATCAGTCGCGGACAAAATGTAGCCTGTAGAAATGTTGAGGGAGGAATAAAGTTGCTCGAGGCCGGTGCAGCAAAGTGCCTCAATATTACAGACTTCTCTTTTGTGCTGCTGTTACTTATAGCTGAAGGCAGCAGTGATGATGTCTGCAGCAGGGGTGGGTACATCTAATGTTGGCCTACTTTTAATTTCGCTACATTTTTCATTCATACCTTTTATACTGGTTAAGTAACCAGTTTGTAATCTGCATTTTGCTTCATTAACCGAAATGAGCTGTGATCCAGGCTGTGTGCGCGCAGTTAAGCAGTAAAGCGCTGGTCGGGCGTTTGTCACAGTCACAGAGCTGAGCGGATGCAAACATTTAGAAAATCAGGCAAATATCTTTTCAGTTTAAGACTTTATTGTTCTATTACAACTGGAATCCAGCGAGCGCACACCACGGCACTGCAGCCTGCGACGCTCTTTCACAAGTCGGCAAGTGAAAAACTTTCACTTTCCACTAACGGCGCATTAAAAGCGTCTTTAGTCTCTGCAGAGCAAATGAAGAGTACACACTGTAAGATCTATGTCAGACGATCACTGCATTGACTGAGATATATTAAAAGATTCCTGTTGTTGAACAGAGCATCGCTTTGGACATTAGCCTGTTTCTTTTCTTTACACATCGGTATCTATTTGTTTTATAGCGATGGCCGACGGTGAGAATGTCGCCGGTGAAACTAATCTTTCACTCAGCAGCTACCAGCTGATATTTATTTTTGAGATGCACAGAGAGAGAGAGAGAGAGAGAGAGAGAGAGAGAGAGAGAGAGAGATTATGGTGGATAAAATAGTTCTGTTGGGTTTTACGCATGACGCACAGCTTCCTCTGTATGCAGGTTTACCTGCTTCAACAACGAGCTGCTCTCGTGTTACTACCACAATAATTCTTTGCGTTGTGAAAATTATTTAGATGCTTCAGGAATAATCAGAGCAAAGCAAGCGGTTTGGCTGGCTACATCTCCATAATAAAAGGCACAGGTAACAAAAGTTGGTGGACAGCAAAAGTGATATTTTAAAGTGATCTTATAAACACCTTCATGGAGATTTAAAAAAGAAAACAATCGTAGAAAGTAGAAATAGCTAAATAACAGATAATCAGCTTCTTCACTGCATTTGCAGGAATATTTTAATGGGCTACTTAAAAAAACAAACTCATCAAGTTGCCTAGTCTAGACAGTCCATTTTTACTATAGCCTATCTTGACATTTCCTCATGCGGACACATTAGTGTCGCTAATTTCAGCGACACTGGACGACACTGCGTGTACGAGAAGTACATAAATCCCTCTTCACTGAGATTATTTTCAGATTTTGGACTTTCAATATTATATTTTGCTTTGAGATGACGAAGAGCGCCTAATTTTGGATGGCAACCACATGTAATTAAAAAAATTTTATATAGTTTTGATTATCATGGATAGAGTTGAAAGGCCCTTGAAATGTCATTTTTTACATTTTTATCAAATTCATGAAGGTAACAGGATTGAGTTTATACTTAACATTATTGTCTACACACTACTGTGAAGTTTTACTACCTATGTTAGATAATATTGTTTTTTATTTGATTGGTATTGTATTAGTGAACATATAAAGAGGTGTAATGTTTTTTTTCATTGGAATTCCATGTATTTATTATAGAGTGCACTGGCAGAAAAAATATTTATTGAGACCGATTTTTTTCATATTGGACTCAAGTGGTTTCATTTATTGAAACCAATTGAGTTATTTTATAATTCATACAAGTGACATTTTAGGATAACCATATAAAAAGAGAATTTTTTTCAGGATGTGCATTTTGGTGAGCAGGATGGTGCCTCTCTTTTTCCACTGCACTTAATGGTATGCTACTTACATCTGTAAAAATGTATTATAGTGTAAATATAGCATCATCAACACAATGCAACTATAAACTAACAATATAATAACTAACAATAAGCTCAGTAGCATCACTGTATTATATTAAAGAGGCTACCTAAGGATTCATGTGAATCAAACAATACAAACTAAAATGTGGCCAATGCCAAAACCCTCACTGGATGATATAGATATTAGAAAAATAATACAAACATTACACCTTTAAAAAAAAACCTGGCTTTTAAAGACATTGAAACTAGTGTAAAGACTGATCTATGTCAAGCCTGTTACTCACTTGTTAAGCCTGTTTGATATCCTACACCATGTAAATTCATGTTAATTATGTCACTTCTAAATGCACAATTATTTTGCAAGTTTTTTTTGTTGAGGGTAAACAGGATTGACGTGAAATCAGGGGACACAGATATATTAATATATGTATTTTTAAATAATCTACATTTATATCAAAAACACAGTTCAACAATAACAAAATGTCCACAGTGTCCCCAGTGTAAATGACACCTATGGGGTCAGTGGACCAGTTAGGGTCAGACAGCAGTGTGGAGCTGTGGGCTGGTGTTTACTCCCTCAGAGGAGGGAGGTGTTA